ACAGCACATTTACACTGTTATACAAGCTGTGTACTCACTTTTGTTGCCAGCAGGTTAGACATCAATGGCTGTGTATTGCATTATTTTGAGGGGACAGCACATTTACACTGTTATACAAGCTGTATACTCACTACTTTAAATTGTAGCCAACTGTCATTTCTTCAGTGTTGTCACATGAAAAGATATACTTAACTATTTACAAAATGTGAGGGTGTGTACTCACTTCTGTGATATATCTGATACTTGCGTTTCTTGGAGAAAAATGTAAAGTTTCTTGATATAAATATTTTGTGTAACTCTGTGTTAAGATAAACACAGTTAACTGTTGTGTGGTTTTTAATATAGTCTTCCAGCAGATTTGCAAAACTTGGCTGGTTAATGCTGTTCGGATTATTGAAATGTGTTTACCTTCTGTGTTTACCTTCTGTGCACAGGCTTATCAGTTGTAGCAGAGCAAACAAATGCTCATGGTTCCACTGTGCAGAAAACAGAAAACAGAGCTGAAGAGGCGTTCCTGAACCGGCAAAAAAATGCAATGACGGTTTGGCACAATTCTGCAAACAAATGTGCATGTGAGTATTTGAGATTATTTTGTGTGACCAGAAGACCGTCTGAGCATATCACATGAAGGACTCTTTGTTCTTTCTTCCTCCTCCTTTTTCACCACCATTTCTGTGTCTACCTCTTCTTAGATTGTTTTGGCAATAAAAGCAGTTTTATTAGCCTTTTAAAACCTTAATTGGATATATTATTCTTATGTAAGTGGAAGAGATTGACTTTCAACCATGTGAATATATTAAAAGAGATGAAATAGCTGTTAATTGAGAGGGTATTGCTTGGACTAGTTTGTATGCTAGATTTTTAAAATATTAGCATACTATTATTACTCTGACTGCAATTTCTTAAGATTAATTTTGGACCATTTTTGTATTCTACTCATAACATGCATAGCAATAGTCCTTGATTTGCAACTATTACTTTAGGAACTATCCCAAGTTACAAACAGCACTGAAAAAAGGGACGATGACTGCATCCCTATGGTCAAAATTTGGATTCTTGATAACCAGTGTGTATTTATGACAGTTGCAGAGTTCTGGGGTAATGAGATCACAATTTGTGACTTTCCTTACCAGTAGTGTCATAGGTAAACATTGTAATAAATCAAGAAATATGATCAAGAAATAAATCACCATATTGCAGGTAAATCAAGAACCTGAATGCATCCTCTTCAGAAGTTTTGTTCTATCAAATGTGAACAGAAAGGCTTTTGAACATTGTTAGCTTTAGACATCTAAGTTCCTTTTGATACTAGAGGAAACTAAATTGCTATATTTCACCTGTTCGTGAAAGTTTGATATCACGTATTTGTTTCCTGTCTGTAATTAACAGTTTTTTAAAAGTCTGGCTCCGGGTCTAGAAAACTAGGAAAATAAACTTGGGGGGGGGGGGGAGGGGGAAGAGATTGTTCTCGTAAAAGCCCCAAGGCGCATTAGAATATCATCATGGGGAGTAGATGATGTTTTTTCTATTGTTAGAACTTATGGATAGAATTGCTCAAACGAAATGTGTTTGGCCCAAAAGAAACTTTTAAGACTTTTAGTCTACATTTTATTTTTTTAAAAATCTGTTAAAAAGTTTTTTTTTTAAAACCCACCATTTCGCCACCAAATTTTAGCAGTATGAGGTAGATGGAGTATGAAGGTTGCTCAGGGAACATAGGCTTTGAGGAAGAAACGCAGTATAGGTTATTTGCACTTTTTCATTTTTAAACAAAGAAATTCAAGTTCTACTTATTTTCTCATTTTAAATATGGAAATTGCAATGTGATTGGGAGGAATTTAATATAGGATCTGAGTCGGTCACCAAGACCAAAGCTTTATTCTTCCGAGCTTTGAGGCTCAAGCTGTAACACATCATCAGGGAATTTTTACTCCCTCCAGAATATGTGCATTGGACTGTACTATAGGTTGTATTGTTTGGTTCCTGGTTGTGTGTGGCTTTTAGCTGTTAATTGGAAGATGGATGTCTGGCTATATTAATAATTGTTTCCTTGTGCCACAGCACAAGTTCACACACACACACACACAAACACACACACACACACACACACACTGCTAGTTTCCTTGCTTATATTTGATAAAAAACATTTGTATTTTCACTCAACATTGGGTGAAATGCACATTGTGTATTTCAAACATATTTCAAATACAACTATACTAAATATAAATTTTACTTGGTTATAGACCTTACCGTAGATTGTTGCTTAATATTGCCAGTAGATGGTGTCAAAAGCACATTTACATTTTTGATGTTGTTACTTAATTATTTAGCTCACTTGCCTGACTTTAGGTTATATCTGATGTTGAATTATGACTTGAGCATGTAAAATTGGTGAAACCCCATGGACAGCTATTTTGCCTTAAGGCTTGAGACTTAGAAAATATTGTAATTTCAGAAATATCCTCTCTAAACAGTGTCCAGAAGCCCATAAGACTTTCAGTCATGTACAGCCTGGCTGACTTGGAAAGACAAAGTTCTGAAACTTTGCTCCCAAAATATTAGAAAAACATGCCATCTTTTGTTTCCTTTTTTCCTTAACATTGCCAGCCCATTTTCACATCAAAACGTAGTTCTTTCTTTTGTGGATGGCAACTAATATTCTCAAGATACAGAATTATTTTGTCTTTCTTGTTGGCCCGACAGAATGCACTTCATGTCTTCTCTTTTGTTGCATTGCTTAAATTGCTAGTACTGATTTTAATGAGATGTTCTGGCTTATTGAAGAATGTATAATTTACATATAGAAAGGTTTGGGTTCAGCTTCTCATATCTTATGATAGAATGGGAGTTTCTTGAAATTCTGAAGAGGTAGAATGAAGATCATTGGTTTTAGAGAATTTCCTAATTGGACTTCCATGTGATAGTAGTCACAATTATACTTTTAGGAGATTCATTCTAATTTAAACTCTCAAATTCTATAATATCTTTGAATCTTACTTTATAAATTAGAAATTGGTTTGGTTATTTGATCTCTGTTAATGGCTTCTTTTTCTCTGAAGAAAAGCTCTTTTAAGTTTTAAATTACTTCTCCACCCACATCTCAAGATGAAATTCTTAAAATTATGCAGGCAGGATAATCCTCGTTCGTAATGTATCAGAGGTTGAAAACGTTTCCTGTTTTGCTACATATAAAACATTATTTTTCTGTTAAATTTATAAAAGTCTGTAGTTGCTTTAAAACAGACAGTATGGCTGTGAAGGTACTGAACTTTGACAGGAATTAATCCATTTTTAATTACAGTATTACATTTTTAATAATATTCTTTGATTTCTGCTTCGTGGATTGGTTTTCAACACATAATTATTACAATTCTATTTTTTTTAATATAAACACTGCCTCCATCTTTGTTAATCCACCCTGCAGTAATGATAATTCCATTCGGGGCAGAAGAATAAAATATTTCTATTCAGAAGGTTGCTGCAATATTTTGCTTGGACTAATGCACGTACAGCTTATTTTAAAAACATTTTAGAATCAAAAGTACATTGGATGACCTTAATATCACCATGGTAGATGGTATTTTAATATTACAATATTGACTTTATTAATATCTTACTCATAGATTAAAAGCACTATATGTCAAACAAATATTTAAATATATAATAATGAAATTGATTAAATGATACTTTGTCTTTTCATGATACAGTTAGATTGAGAAGGAAATCAAGACGACGTTCACAATGGGGGAAAGGTATTATTAAAAAGAGAAAAGTGAATAATTTGAAAAAAGATGAAGATGATGCCAAGTTTGCAGATGATGAAAATCAAGGGGATGATAACAAACTCCTAGAAAACGGGGAGCTTGAAGGAAGCATCGACTGCATTGAGGAGAACGGAGAGGAAACCGGAGATCTTTCTCTAACAAACGATGAGTCATCATGTGATGTCATGGATATACATGGAGAACAGAGACTTGATAACGGGACAGTTGGGAAAGAAAATAGCATTCCGTCTACAGAAGAGAGCTCTAATGAATCCTTGGTAGTAAATAATAATGTTATGGTCAATGTAGAAGAGGACTTTAAGGATGAATCGGGTTCCCAGAGGGACCATCTAAATGGTGAGGCCTCTGAAGGCACACCTCTTCTACCATGTCAGTATGACAAATGTGAACCATCAAATGTCAGTCTCATTGTTGATATGGATACGGCCAAACAAGGGGTAACAAGTGATGACCACTCTCCCAAAAAATCAGAGGCTTCAAATTATAGTCCAGAAGGAGAACATGTACTACAACAGTCTTGTAGTGAGATTTCACAGTGCAGCAATAACGAAAAGAAATCATCAAGCACAGATATGGAAACTAAAGAAACCGAGTCAGATAAAGAAGGTACATGAAATATATATTACTTTTGGTTCTTTTCCTCATCTCATAATTGAGGTAAATGCAGAATAGGATTTAGAAATGATTTGGAAGAAGTGGCTTTGCACAGAAGCCCCCCCAAAAATGAGCACTTGAATTCTGCACAGTGCTAGGGCAAAATATTTTGCTTGGAATATGTTTACGTTTTGAATATATATGTATATCTTGATTCAAATCATTTTTACCATGTTTATCTTGGCTTCAAGACACAATTAAATTTCAAACCAACCTAGATTAAGGTGCTTCTCAACTTCTTTTGAGTTCTCTAGTTGACCAAATATTCTGAGGTTTTTCAAAAGTTATATTAATTTATTATATATACGTATAATATAATGGAAAATCTCAGAATATCTGGTCAACTGGAGAGATGCATGAATTCAGAAGAAGTTGGGAAGGAAAGGCATCAAATCAAGATTGATTTGAAATTTCGTTGTGACTTCCCCCATTTCTATGGAGGGAAATGCTATTTAAAAAACCTCATTGTTACATTGATTAGGGGTGGAGAAAAGAAAATAATGGAAAATAACTTAAAAGTCATGTTGTCATTGCTTCCACTTTCTATAAAGCAAGTTAGCGAGAACTATTTAAGTCTAAACATTTCCATTTAATAAATTTAGCTCCATTGCTTGGAATGCAGTTGAATAACATCTTAGAATTATTGTAATCTCATCCATATTTCTTTGCAGGTACATTGAAAAATAAGAAACTTCGTAAAATTGCTTTGACACAAGTTCCAGAAGAACAGTTAGACCCTGTACCTCCTGTAGTTGTTGATCGTGTCAGGCTAATGGTAAGGTTAACTGGATATACAGTCTTAAATCTTAATACCAACATTTTGTTTTTTCACTTTTCTTTTTGCCAAGTATCTGTTACAAAATTAAAAATATGTCCCCTTCTGTTTCACTATATTTTAAATTTCATAAGGTCAAGTTGGATCAAATTACTATAATATAGTATTGTTGCTCAACCAAAAAACGAAGAATCTCTTAATATATAGAATTTTGAAATAATTTTTAATTGTAAATTTCAGTTTAAAAATACAAAGATAAAAACTAATACAAAGAAAAATATAAAAAAGATAAAAGTGCAGAGAGAAGAAGTATGGGCAAAGGAAGAAAAATATATAAAAGAAAAAAGAATATAAAGAAATTACTTCCGCTTTCATCAAGAGAAGTATAAACAATTTCAGTAAAGTATCTTCTTTAACATCGCTAATAATCTCTTCATTCCATATTTATGTATTAGTAATCAATAAACCCTTACCATTTAATCCTAATCAGCAAAAATCCATTAAAAACTACCAGAAATATCAATAACTATTTAAACTTCACTCTAGTAAGTAAATTTCATATTCCTTTCACTTAACTTACACAATAACTTACCATTTTCTCTAAAAATGCAAAGAAATTTTTTTCTTCCCAAGTCTTATATCTATAAACAAATCTTTAAAGCACCATCATTCAAAGTTAATCAGAAGAGATTCCATTAAGAGTTACCAGAGAAAATTACCATACTGTAATTTAATCCCATTAAATGTCCCACAAATTATTTTTATCACCTTCTCTTCATTTCCTTTCAGACTTCCTTTGCAATTGTAACTTAATTTTTGATACCATAGTTTATCACTTTCTCTAAAAATTCAACAACAAATATCTCTTCTTCTCATTTCTTATTTATAAACAAATCTTTAAAGCCTCATCTTTCAACCCTGCACATAGTTGACAGTTGACAATCAATACAAATTTTCTAGTAATTTAGATCACATAATTATTATATAAAACAGTTATTAAGCAAAATGTTACACTGCCTCTAAACTTAAATGTTAAGCTTTTTCCAAACTTCTCTTCACAGAATTTACTCGATTTATTGGTTAAAAAAAGTGACAACTTGACAGTTGACCAGCTGGAGAGGCTCTACTCTCTACTTAATCAGTGCATCTATCGGCATCGTAAAGATTATGACAAATCGCAACTTGTACAAGTAAGTTTGCAACCTGTTTTTAGAACATGCTGTAAGTGATTCATCTGATCTTCTCTAAGTCAAGGCAAGCCCAGTGTCTCAGAGAGCTTTCTGCTAGCAGGAAAACAAATTTTATTTTAAAAGTGTTTAGACTAATTTACTTTGTTTAAAAAAATGTTTTGGCTTGTTTTGTTTCATATTCAATATTATTTCTAATTATTCAGCATAAGATGAGAACATTACAGAACAGAAGTAAACATATACATATTGTCCAAATAATTACATGCAAAACATAACTGGATGTCCAATTCAGCTCTCCAGTCAATCGCCTCTGGTGTTGCTTCGTGCAGTTCTTTTAGGGAACACATATTGTGGGCAATCTTGCATAATATGTTTAATTGTTTGCATATCAGCACCACAATCACAACAAGAGGAATCTTTATATCCCCACTGATAAAGGGCAGAGACACTTCTTCCAGTATCACACCTAATTCTGTTCAATTTTGTCCAGAAATTGCTTATGTAGCAGTAAGTGTTGTTTAAACACTTTGATTTTTGGAATGCTGTACTATAGCAAAATTAATTTAATTCCATTGTGATTATTGAAAGATGGATCCATGATTGATTGATTGATAACTGTCTACTTTTCCTAAGGTGAAATGGTATTGGTGTGATTTCTCAATCTCTTCTTTCTTGAGACTTCTGTAGGGAAATGTTATTGTTTAACATTACTCTTGAGTGGTGATGAATAATCAAATGATCTTGTTTTCTTCCAGGAAATGGAAAGAACAGTTGATATGTTTGAAACATTCCTGTGAACACATCTCTCCGAGGTGTGAGGGTTTGTCTTTTCATGGGCTGCTCACAGGAAAGCAGTCTTCTGAGCCATTCGCTTTCCACTTGCGCCAAGTAAATGCAGAGCCTTGGTCTTAACATGCTCGCTCTTGGTCTCACGTTCTGTTATGAATTTGGTGCTATCGTCTCAGGTAACTGAAACCAGCCAGCCTACAAGAACCAAACAGAACTTCAAAATATTTGTATCTTGATATAAATAAAGAATATAATGCCACAACACAGAGATTTTTGGTGCTACAGAAACTGCTTTCATTTCTGCTGTCTACATGTGTTATCTTATGAGAAGTTTCAGGCAAAACACGGAGCAGGCTGACAAAACACCCACAAACTGGATAGAGCAGATCTGATTATTTAAGTGGGCAATTTCTAAGATTTTTTTTTGTTTTTGCTTTTATTTTACTTTTTATTCCCTGAGGTAAAGGACAGAAGCCTGTTTTTGCAGCTGGGAGTGAAGAATTGTGGTACAAAGGAATTGACTTTGGTATACAATAATATGAAGATGAGGCTCTTTCGAGCTGCCTTCAATGTGCCTTTTTAGTCAGTGGTGATGGTGGAGAAAGAGGAGGAGGAGGAGGAAGTTATTAAAAAGTTGAGATTGTAGCCAATGACAGAGTTAGTTATTTTTGAAAGCCTGTGGTTCCCAAAGAACAGTTTCAGGTTCCTGCACTGTCAAATGGCAGCCAGTATTATGTTTTTTAACATTTCTCTGTTGCTCTCCAGATAATCCAAATTATGAAAATAAGTTTAATCTCATATTATCTCAAAATGCTAAGATATATTCATTTCTAAAACAACTTTATACTCCTAAAAAAAGGTCTTACTGGATATTTAAGGTGGCTGTAGTTGTGGGTTGTTTTTTTGTTTTTGTTTTTTGTTGATGTTGCTCCATTTTATTTGTTCAAAGTCCTTTAAAACAGGTTTCTTTCTAAACTTCCATTAGAGTGGAAGCGAAGATTTGCTGGGTGGTCATGGGCAGGAAAGGCAATTCATCTTCATATGAATTAGACCAAACTGATTCACTCCAATTCATTTTGGGACAGTATTAAAGAGGAAATGACCAAGTAGCCTTAAATGGTTAGTTCTTGAACCTCTTAATTAGCCCCCGAAATATTGCCATCCTCCAGAGCTCAGTGTTAGTTGAATGTTTTCAGACACTTTTCCTGTTTTAGGAATTAAAAGAAGAGAACATTCCAGGCAGCCAACAATCTGCTTCACCCAGATTTGTTTCAGATCAACATGTAAAGATCATCACGATCCCGTGGCTTCTCTTGGTCTTAGTGTCATCTACAAACTAATGTCCCTTTATAATATAAACTGTAGTTGAGGGAGTATAGCCCCCACGCCCCCAAATATGCAATTCATTGTGTTTTGCTTCCAAGAAACAAAAATGAAACCACCCAATGTTGGACTACTGCAGAGATGCTTAGCTACCTCAGCTTTTTTGTATTTCAGTTACCAACAGTGTTTACGGGAGGTTGTAATCTGCCCTGCTGCCGTTTACATGCCGAAGCTTAAGGTACTTGTCACCCTGTGTGCCGGCCGCAGCTGAGAATCAGGCTCTGGCTGTCGGCTACACCAGTAGTTCCTTCCCATTTTTTTTTCTTTGCGAGGTAACATCCGGGCCTGGTCCTTCTAGCTGAGCCTCCCCAGGCCAACTTCGCTCGCTCGCTCTTGGGTTCCTGAGAGGCATTGAGGGATGCTATTCTGAACGTGACTTCTGTAGAAATGCTGTATTTTTAGGTGGGAAAGTGCGATTAAAAATCAAAACGTTTTAAATTAGTACTTCATTTTAGAAACTTGATTGGGGGATTTTCTCATTTTTCTGTTAATATTTATTGCCATTATATCTGCTTAGGCCATTTCGCTGTCAGTCCATTAGCGTTTTGTATTATGAAGAGGATTGTTATAAAACTTTCAGAAATAAAATGTAGCAGATTTTTTGTAGCAAGTTTCTGGTAAAAACAATTTTTTGCAAGTCTCAGGTTCTTGCAGCATTTTTTAAGATATTGTAGTTCAACGATTCTTTAGTTCAAGTAGCAGCAGCAATTGTGAGAAGAAAAACTGCATACATTTTTAACAGGTCGTTAAATTTGTACAAGTTTAAATCCTTTAAAATAGTTGTCAAATAATTTTCAAAAGAGCATCTTAAATTCAAGTCTGGCATCTTCCAGTTTATCAGTTGAGGGGAAAAATATTTGTAGTTTTGAATGTTGATTAAAAAAAAAGTGAGGAACTTCCTCTAATTGTTATAGATTTTTGAGAAGAATTAGCTTCTATAAATGTGTTAGTGGGCAACATGAATAAAATTATATATCCATCCTTCTGGCTCCAAAACCACACTAACCATGTATTCCTTTTCTTTATTAATAGCTTAGCAATTGTAGAGTTAAATCTGTTATTCTATTCATGTTGTCAGGTCGCTTCTCTTTGTATTTTTGTTCTTGTTTTGCCACAGAGAATTGGCAATAAATTCAATTCCTGTATCTTGTTATGAATCACCAATGAACTCCTGTGCAAGGCCACATCCTAGGCCAGGCGGAGGTTAAATTTCTGTGGGGATAATGATGAAACTGCTCTAAGATAACCATGGCTGTGGAGTTAATGTGTTTGCAAGCTTGAATTTCAGCTGTGATTAATTTATGTTTTGTGTTTTCAGTCTTATTATTTGAGTTTTCTCATATGCCAATGTATTTATTATAGGATAACTGGGTGATTGGTTTTGTTTTGTTTTCATTTTGCTAACAATTTACATTCCCATGTTTTCTTTACGTTTTTTTTTCTTTTAGTTTTTGTTAAGTTGGAGGTCATATTTGAATATGTGCAGCAACTCATAATTCTCTCCCTTTTATATAAATTCAACATTAAGCTTGAATTGGAGCTTGTACCTGCTTTTTTTCTGTATTGTACATTGGTTTACTTCAGAAGTGGGGATGTCTTTTGGGTTATTCATGTGTGTCTGTTTTTTGATAAAATAAGATTTACTTCATCAGCTATAAATCTTGGATTCTATAAGTTGTATTCAGAGGATTGTGTTATGCTTTTTTGCATCTTGACTTTATTTGCATTAGTTAAGTAAATTATTTAATTTTTTAAAATTCTGGATATTTTGAACATATTACTGTAATTTGTAATATAACTGCTGTGAAATACTTGAATAAAGAGGACAAGTAAAACTCTTGAGTCTCTTAATCGTTTTGATAATGGTTATGTTTTAATTTTAGGTGTACATTGATTGGTAGGTTCAATTAGGTTGGCTCTTGCTCTGGCAAAAGAAAACCCATAGATCCACCTTTAGGGTCTATGGTTCACAAAGGTGGATTTAGAGGTATCATTCTTTCCCTTCCCAAACTAGCTTGGGAAAAAAGTAAAAATAACTCCTACTGAGGCACATATCTTTTTTAAAATATTTTTTTATTTTTTAATATAATGCACAGTGTATTGACTGGGTCAAATCTTTTTTAAACAATGCTATCAGCAATAATACAAATAAGTATGCATAATCCTGATCTTCCGACTTCAACAGTACCATTCTCTCTTTCTAATTCTTTTATCATTTTTTCCATTAATTCATTTAAGCATAAATAACATTTCTTTGCACATACCTTCTGAACACCCTTTAGTTTGTGTAATTAAAGTTCCTCTGATTTTATATTCTGATGTACTCCATTAGGAACAATTTTCACACAGAGATTTCATTCATTCATTCATTCATTCATTCATAAAATGTATTGCTGGGCATCTCTTATCCAACAACTCTACGTGCCTTACAACATAAAACATTGAAAAACATTAAAATCACCCATTATAAAAAGATAGCAAATAAAACAATAAAAACCAAGGAGACAAGATGGCAAAGAAGGAAGCTGGACACGGGAGGAGGGAAGGGGGACTGGTGGTATTGAATTTTAATTAGTCACCACCTCAAGTCTTGAGGCTCTTTCGAAACATCAGGAGGGTAGCAACCAATCTCACCTCAGGGCGTAAGAGGTTCCAGTAGGCAGGAACCATAAAAGAGAAGGTTCTGGATCCTGCCAGTCGAAATTCCTTGGCTGACAGGATCCAGAATTTGCCCCCTCTGCAGACGGGGCAGACCAGTCCCATCAGGATGAGATGGTTCCACAAGTAGACTAGACTTAAGCCATATAAATGATGACAAACACCTTGAATTGCACCGGGAAGCAGACCGGCACCCAGTACAGTTCATGAAGCAGTGATGTAACATGAGCCACTTCAGGGGCCCTAAGAACTCCCTGCGCCGCTGCCTTCTGTGCTAGCTGTAGCTTCTGAATCCTCTTCACTTCTTACAGCAGTAGAAAGCATAGTCCCTTAGTGTGCAGGCAGCCCTATTCTGTTAAATTTGGCTGTCTGCTCTATGGTGCTTCTGCCTCTTCCCTTCAGGGGGTATTCTGACCCACGGGGCTCTGGTGAACCTAACATTTGGAGTCAGAATATGCTGAAATAGCTGCTTGCAAGTAGGGGAGGACTCTCTTAGAAAGGTTTATGGAGTTCAGTTAAAGAGGATTTTGCTGTAGAAGCTGAAGAAGCTTCTTGAATGAGAAGCGAAACATCTTCAAAGAAAAACCAGAAAGTCCGGTTGCCTCTTGAAAAAAAGCACCTTTGGGACAATCATAACCTGGCTGACTCAGAATCTCCATAGACATCTTGTTACAGATTACTTAGTTATGCAAATGCGTAAACTTATTTTTTTTTTTGTAGGAAGCTGAATCAGTAAGCTGTCAACTTGCAGGGCTAAATTCAGTCAGTACAGGAGCAACAACAGGATCAGCTTGTCCTTGCTCTAGGGCAGGGCTGTCAAGCTGGCGGCCTGCGATCCGGATGTGTCACACGGCCACGCCCAAACCCAGTTTAGCAAAGGGAATAAAAGTCCCGATATGTCACATGGCGCCACATGTTTTTTTTGTAGTTAGACTTATATACCGCTTCATAGGGCTTTCAGCCCTCTCTAAGCGGTTTACAGAGTCAGCATAT